GAAATGTATTATCATAACTCCCTCCGAGGTACGGCATGTAATGGCACGAATCGGCCTATATAAGGCCGCTGTTTCTGTGCTAGAGTTCAATGTCGGTTAGTGTTGTTAGTGTCGTGGCAGTGCTGTGTTAGTATTGTGCTTCGGTGTCTTGCACAGACGATGAAATGCTCTTCACCCCGAATTCCCGCCAAGAGGCCGACAATCCATTTCGGCAAGCCGGAGCCCCGGGACAGCCCAACAAGGACGAGTCGCCGAGTACCCGGGCCCAATAATGTATGATACAAGGTATGAGCAGTAATGAACAATTTAACTCGCTTCTGAAAAGAAATGCTTCGGTCCATTAAACAATATATATTCTTTCCCAGTACCACAAATGGATCTCACCAGTACAGTGGTTGTGGTATTGTGTATTAAAATAAGGTAAAGAATATATATGACAGAGAAAATTAGCACAAGTCTGCAGCTTTTTAATGGAGAAATTCGTTTAGAAAAACAAATGTATAAAAAACATTCAATCTACCCACGGGGAACCAAAGAGAAAGGAGGGGGGTAGGTGGAATACGGGGTGGCAAACAGTAAATCAGATTAAACGATAGCATAAAAAGTATTAGACAAACCGCAAGATATAAAAAAAAGTTGCACTGAAGTGAAAAAAGGGAAACAGTGAATGTAATAAATAATAATGTTAATGGTAATAACAATCACAATAAAATAATGATCATTGTAGAAGCCAGGCTGTAACGTTCCAGGCTTGCCGTTTTGATCATGCGTCTTTGCGCTAAACTTATAGATCTCTAACAGCACGAATGGTTCCTACGCTATAGCTTAACACTTGGACTTATATTGGCTGTTTTGGCGTCTTCCCGTATACAGAGGGAAAGGTGTCGGCTAGGATGAAGGTGTTGCATTATGGGACCGCGTGGACTTCCAGTATGATTATTAGTTTTCTGCATGAATTCCGGTTGTTTTACGGAATGCTCGTTCACTGAAAAAAACGCAAACTTAAATGAAGCCGGAAGAGGATTACAAAGTTTGCAAAATACAGTTGCTTTTGAGTTTGCGAAAAAATTGAGTATTTATCATGTCTACTGCAGGGAATTTCACCTCCAAGCTAAGTTAAAACCAAACGTGAACATAGAATATTCTTGCAAAGTTTTACCTTCGCAGCTTGTGTGATAAGCGAAAAGGCCACTTCGCTACATCCTTGAAGTACCCAAGTAGTGGCACAAGTACAAAATCGAAACTCAGTTTAGTTATATGATTTCTACATGAACAGTAAATATTCAGACAAAATTCAAGCTACTGTTTTCCGGTTCATTTCCGAGTTGGCACGGTGCCAGCTGTGAAGTGTGTGCGATATCTGAATTTGAAACCTTTAGATCATACGTTCACAGAATACCCCTGCAAAGTTTCAGCTTTCTATCTTGTTTGGTTCACAGAACCGTTTCCCATCAAAGAAATTTGCGTATTTTTTTAAGGGTCCGTACGCGAAATCTAGTTGTGCATGAGTGAAGATTTTAAAACCGGTAGGTGACACACGAGGTCGAAATATGACCCCAAAACCTCAACCTTCCAGCTTTCTGGTTTCTGAATTGAAAGACGGCAACAAAGTTCACTCGCTTCCGTACACACACAAACGGACGACCTTTAGACAATATGCATTTTCACTCACTCCAACAGCACTATAGCGCTGTAGAGCAAAAATGCAGAATAAAATATTAGGCTAAGCCTTGAAGAACAGTAATTAGAATCGTCATAATAATAACCCAAATATTAAAAGAAATGTTAAACGATAAACCAAATATGAAAGCAATGTTGCTGTAAGCTTTATAATAGTAATAATATTAATAATAATAGTAATAATCACAATAGAATTACTTTCAGAGAAAAATAAAACTTTAAGAATCTTGCTTGAGACAAGAACTGCTTCATTTTTTACGACTCTGTTCTTATTTTTGAAAGAAAAATAAAGCATACTTGATATTCCTCCACATTCGCGTCGTTTTTCTTATCAGCATCATCAAGCGCAGCTTTAGCAGCGCAACAATAAAGCAGAATTAATATGGCGCTTACCATTATGCTGCTACTGAAGTATGTAAAAATTAGGGCTTATTTTTGCAGTGGAAGGCAAAAAAATTCACACACAACACATTAAACCATGCATTTATGATATGATAAATACAAATCCCACAAAACACCTATCCACGCACCTCTGTTGAGACCGGAGGTCTCAAGATGCTGCTCTGCGTCAGCAGCAAATTTTGTGAGCTTTTTTTTAAGGTTCTTTATAACAGATTAGTATTATCGGAAGACCGCTCACATATGAGTTATATACGGCGCTCAATGATGAGCGCACAGCCCTCAATAGCCCATGATTAATTATTACTGTTCTTTTGATTCTTTACTGACCAAGCGCAATGAAATTACA